ATGAACAGAAACAAAATGAATTTCATCCCATTTTGGATTAACAGTTCCATGGTTAACACGAGTACGAACTATTTCAGTTCCAGCAGCATTCATAATGCGGACGTACGGATCAGGATTAGAAAAGGTAAACCAAAAATCTGATTTTTTGAGATCTTTAGCACTTTTAACACCGATCCTTATTATTCCAACAACTTCATCACTAGGGATCATGAAATCATGCGGTTCTTCGTCTCCAACTCCTCGATCATGATATCTATCCTTAGCTTCAAGAGAATCCTTGAATGACTCGTCTTCCTCTATAGCATCCTTTTCAACTTCGAATCTTTTAACAACAAAGATTCTAGCAGATTCAAGAAGTTCGTCTCGTACTTCCTTATCTTTCACTTGTTGACAAAGCCAATCAGATGCTTTTTGGTATATGCTTGCCCACTCATTTCTGTGATCAACTAATACATATCGATTAAACCAAATCAAAATAGCAGTACTCCAGATGTTAGCATCAAGTTGAGCAGTTTTTGGAGAGGAAGAAAAATGGCTTTCAATATGTTTCTTTGCTTCATCAACCGAACTGAAGCCCAAAGCTTCAGCCAATTGAGGAGTGAGCTCGAAACAACCAGATTCATGCTGGTAAGAGATGAATCGACGAACAATACGGATATCAACTTGTTTTCGGGTAATGATCCGTCTACTAGATATGGCTGTGGTAATAATAAATCAATATCATTAATAATCTGAATACAAGGATTTATTCTAGTCACATGAACTAAAAAAATGTGGAAGAAAAAACTATGTAGGCAATAGTTTATTCATAACACTAATTTCTTAACTTATCGACTAACATGTGACTCATCCCGCATCATTAACAAAAAATTTTTTCTTACAGAGAACTCCCAGACTTATTTGTTGATTCTCGTCTATCCATTGAGTAACTTTAAAGCGTTGAATAACGAATTTGTTTGAATAATTGTAAAGACGCTCTTCGACTTCAGAATCGGTGACATTTTCACTCAACCAACTTTCAGCCCTATTGTAAATATTCATCCACTCACGACGTTTCTCCCACAATAATGCTTTGAGGAAAGATGTGACAAGCACAGTTGCCCAAGCTTTATGATCCAAACAACGAACTCCTTCATCTTTTTGTACATAATCAGAAAAGGCAGTAGCAAGCTCTTCTTTAGAGCCATAGTTGAATAGTCTTGCTAATGCGTCAGT